GTTTTGGATTTTACTTGAACATGTGAAAGTGATATTGAAATTTATGTTTTCCGTGAAGTTCGGTGAACGAAAACGAAGGGGCTATGCTTCATAAACTAAGCGTTTGTTTCGATTGAAACAGACAATCCAGTAAAGGATAAGGACATGAACCCATATTCTGGGCATCAAAGAGAGTGCCATCAAAATATGGGATGTTGGCTTTTCTACTAACACACGCATTTTCATTGGTTTGACCCTTCAAAGGCTCTTCATTTTACGCCATAAACAATTGCTTCTACATTCTTCATTGTTAAATCCTAATCATCATTTATATATTCATCTTAAATTCATATCAAATATCACCAATTGATTTATTTTTTAAAATCAAACCAACCCAACTCATATGCATCCCAAGTTTGGGAAGGCTTGTAATGTCGTTCTCATTTCATAGAATTATTGATGTTCAGTTGCTTTCACTGTGATAATAACTCGACTGGTCTTGTCTCGTTCTTTTTGTCATGAAAGAGTAAATATATGACAAAGACAAAAGCCTTTAAATCGATAACAATTGATTGCTGAATAACAGAATAACACTGTTCCAAACCCCGAGAACTTAGGGGAAGTTTAACATGTTAATACACTTATCTCACTCTGTACCGATAATAATAGATGTTTGCTACAGTACTCTTAAATTTGAGAGTATATAGAATACTTTCTAGATTATATTAAGATATTAAAAGATATTAAAAGATATTTATATTTTTTCTGAATACACTACTAACCCTATCACTAAAATTAAATATTATAATTATTTCATGTATATAAAAAGATATAATACTTCTTCATTTTTTAGAGTACTGTAAATTTACTTAATAATAATAATAATAAGTCAGGATTTATTGAGATCGATTAATAAACTTAAAAATTTACATTATTTAATAATTATTTATGAAAAATGAGATTAATAAATTTAATCATTGAATCTTGTATTATTGTCACGATTAATATATCAATTTTTTATAATTTAGATATTTATTTTCAAAAAATAAATTTTTTTAATATTTTAAGAATATATTACAAATTAAAATAAAGTAATTTGATGAAGTATTTATTATTATTTTTATAAAATTACTTTTTATAATAAGAACTTTTAAACTAATAATTTAATAAACTGATTATATAGTTTATAAAAATTTACCAAATTATATAATTATCTAAATTTGACACTAATCTCAACATATCTTACTCGTAAACAAAAATTAATAAATTAATCAAATACTTTAGAATATTTTATTACATAATGCTTTGGATCCATTAGATTTGTAATCTTCGTAATTTTCTTATTGTTGTTAGAATCTGATAATTTATTAATAAAGTTGTGTTCTTTATAAGAAAAATGTTGTCGCCTTTTAGCTATGTTCATACCTAGTGTTAAAGATCGAAAAGTTTATTATGATTTTAATGATTGAAAAACTTTGTATAAATATAGTACATTATCTTGTTTAACAATCTTAAAAAGTATTTCACTAATAGTATTTATAAGATGTTTCTCTTATAATTATATTATGGTCTTAAAAATAAGTTTCTTTGGATGCCTCTTCACAACAATTTATATTTGTTACTATTCAAGGCAAATCTCTAACTTTGGATGGAAAATTTTGAAATCATTGAGCCCAAACCTCCCGATTATTCAAAAGTTGATACAAAGGAAGCTTTGGAGTGCCTTTGGTTGATTAGGGCTAAAGACGGATAGATGATTACAGATCTGCATATGAAAGCCCAATCCGTAACTTAGGCTAACTACTGGATTTAAAAATCCAAATTTTGTAAGGAACCAAATACCCAATCAATAGGGAAAAAAAAATATAGATATGAATTATATCTAATCAATGAAAACTGGAGTTCAACTAACGAAATTTTGTTTTCTTCTTTACTCTTCTTGTAAACCCTAAATCTCTAACAAGAATTGGCTTACAACAGCGAAGATTGGTCTGCTCATAACTGCGATTCGCTTGCAGCATTGTATACTAATGTCAATATTTTCAGTTTCATTTACTTTAGTAAAGGGACTATTAGTGTAGCGTAATGATTTTATAATAAGTATAGCAATCCACTTGATGGTGATTGGCAATTTATGTATCTTGATTTATTTATGTCGATAGCATATGACACATTAAAAGAAGACTCCTATGTTTTATAGGTCAAAGATGATGATTCTAATAAATTTTATATTGAAATCATTACCTTTTTGTTTTAAACATATTTGTATATTATGGAAAACATTTACTCCTTTCTTGTGATTTATTTTGTCGTCAAATAACCAAACTTATACTTTTTCATTTATTTTAAGCAAAAATGACATATTATGGTGAGTGGTATGTCTATACTTAAAACCACCACAAAGTATGTAGAATGCAGTGTGATGCTGATATGAGCTAGTGGACACAGGAAAGTAGAGATTAATTGATGTTTCTAAAGGCTTCCCTTATGATATGTTTCATTATGCACTCTCACATACTGTCTCAATGGATCTTGTTGATATGCAGGTGGAAGACTGCATGCCCAAAATTGGAGTCTGAAATTGAAACTTCTATGTTTCATTCTTTATACATCAGAATCTGAATCCAAATTTCAGATTAGTCAACTAAGAAAATGATCTTCTAGATCATCAAATTTAACTAGAAAGAAATATTCACAAGATCAAGGACCTTAACATCTCTGGTTTGATCCCATAAACTTCTCAATTTATTTCCTATATACTTGAGAGTAACTCATTTGCCTAATAGTTTAACCTTAAAGGTTGATCCATAAATAATACCAGCCTTCATAATTTCCAATATCTACTTTAATCTCTAGAGAAAGATTAGGAGTTTGATTAAATTTTCAAAACTCATCCTCTATCTTTTTTAATATTGAAATCTCCCAAATCGAGTGGATAATATCATAATTTTTTAGAGCAAATTCATACCTATAGGTTACTTTTTTTTATGAGAGTGAACAACCTACCAGATAATTGCTAGGGTGTTTAGATATTACTTGCTTCGAAGCATTTAGGGCCTGATGAACATCCTTCATATTGCTAGCATATGAAAGAACTGCATTCTTTTTATACTCCTTGCAATCTTCCTCCATCTTCACTTTAATTATACTCTTCACCACCATCTCTTATTCCTTTATTGAAACCCTATTGACTACCTCCATGAACTCACAAGAACAAGACTTCAAAGGTAGGTAGTGTTTCTAAGATAGAAACTCAGGTAGACCACTCAAAAAGAGAAAATTCTAGTAAAGCTCTTGATGTCAATGTGTGTTCTAATTCGAGCTTGTTGCTTTTGAAAGTGAACTTTCAAAAAACTTCCTCTAAGTACCATTAAACCTATAGCTTATAATTATCAATAATTTTGGTCCAATTTTACCCTTCCTTTTTATTACATATAAATACACAACTTAAATTACTCTTATTTAATTTTAATATTATATTAATATAATATTATATATTTTTAGATATTTAATACATTTCCATTAATTTCACCAAGCAAATCTAATTTAATCAACTACTCATGAGGTATAAGATTTTAGCTAATTTACTTAACAACCCCATATCTTATGATTTACATTGTAATTCCATGGTACGCTGCGAGGAAAGTAAGTGAAAAGATGTCAACTTTTTTATTCTTGTCTCTAACAAAAAGATGTAGTTGTGGAAGCTAACCTATATCATATATCTGGCTCACAAAAAATCTTAATACTTCTTTACTTCATTTTAAGATATATAGGTTCCTTGGTCGTTGTTTTTACTATGATGATGATATTGGTTTAAGTTACATACGATGTATCCCAATATCAACATTACATAAGTAGGTTTACAAACATATCTAACTTGACTATCTGCATATTTTTCTTCACCAAACAAAGAAGATAGTTAGGAGCTTCAACTTCTTTTATTGAAAATAGTATCCATCATTACCTCGCACACGTGCAATATGTAAAATTAGTTGAAAACCTAACACCATTTTTTTCAGGTGACTACCCATCCCCAATTTTATAACCAAGAGATTACTCTAACGCCACAAACATGTGAAAATACCCCACCTCCAATGCACAGTTGCCTCTCCTATTGTCAAACATCAGCAGTAGACCTATATGACAAAGCACCATAAAAGAAGTTTGCTAACAGATTTAAGCGTCTACAGACTTTTCTCCATCGCCAGACAAAGAGGACATTTAGCAACTTTGACTTCTTTGTCTGATAGGAATAGTTCCAGTTTCATAACAAAAGAGAGGAAGCAGCTGTCTATAGTGATTTAACCACGGCTTTGAAACTAGTCCTCTTACTCGCCGTATTCTTGCACTTTCTGCAATTAGTTCAGTCAATAAAAATTAAATTCTAGGGGTAGCATCCCAAAAAAGCCTATTAAATGCTGAAGAAATCGATATTTTATTAAATTTACGTGAATAATAGTCTTTAAAAATGCCGTTTCATTTCACACATCCCAAATACCTTATTAGCTTTCAATTTTCCCTAAATTTAACCAATAGGTAGAGGGCATTAATTTGGGATACGAACAAAGCAGGAAGTGAAAAGAGTAGATATTTGAAATTCTTAAAGATTCATGGAGGTTCATGCAATGGGTAAGATGTTAAGGTTATTCTGGCAATTTCTGGTGTGACAAGCTTCAATAAAATAAAGTGATATTCACGGTTAAACCGGGAAGAGCAGAGATGTAGAACACAAAGTGAGATAACATGGGGTTTTGACGATCCCCACACACAAAAGTAAAGCTGAACATGGGAAGAGGGTCAATACGGAAAATAATTCGAAGTGTAAAGGAAAAAAGGTCAATGTAAACTAATGTTTCGATCGTCGCAACTTGAATTTTTGCCACAGCCGAACGGACTGAAAGAATGTCTCGTCAGGTTTATATTGAATTATATGGAAAAATAACATTTTTCATCAATATTTTAATTACTGAGTATTTTAATATCAACTGATTAAAACTCATCCGAAACATGAGTCTTGAATAACAATGACAGAAATATTAATTCTAAATATAGACTAAAGTGCAGAAAAATATCTAAACCACGAATCAATGATTCAAAGCATATATGATACTAGAACCACCGAAGAAAAATATAGGACGGCGAAAGTATCCACTATCACAATCAATAAAGACAAGTATATTAGCAAGTATACAAGCCAGGTACATCAGCAAGTATATTAAAATCCAAAAACTCCATCACCTCGACAAAAGAGGCAACACCAAGAAGAGCTAATGCTCCTAACAGGACAAAAACACTGGTTCCGGAGACCGATTTATTCAGACTTCTCATCTTACCCGGGCAAGACAATAAATTGCAGCTAGACATAAACACATGATACTCATGTAAACATGTTACTTTGCTGTACCACCTTAAAGAGAATTCTTGGCAACGTGAACAATCAGGTCAATCACGCGAGAGCTGCAAGACCAAAAGACAAGGCAGCCATTAGATCAAGCTGAATTAATAGTAAAACATGCATACTTGTCGTGATTAGATTAAGGCAAATTGACAACTTATTGAACACCTCAGGCATATTCCTGAACCACAATATCAGTAAGCAACTCGATACAGTAGTACAACACTATCACGTGTTCAAGAAAAGGTTGAAAGTGGATTACCTGTATCCCCACTCGTTGTCATACCATGCAACAAGCTTCGCAAATTTTTCATTCAAAGCGATTCCTGCCTTTGCATCAAAAATACTTGACCTGCATAATGATAAAAAAAGAACTAAGAAAATATAATTTATGACCAAATTTGCAAACAAGGCCATTTCAAACAACTAGAAACAGGTATAGGACGAATATCAACTGAAAAAGGTAACAAAAACTGGATAGGCACCATCAGCAACCGCGTGTAATCAATAGATCTGTTGGCAAAATTTTTACCTGCTATCACCAAGAAAGTCAGTAGAGACCAAATCTTCCTCAGTGTAACCAAGAATTCCCTTCAATTTTCCTTCAGACTCCTCCCTGGGAAAAACATCATTATATAAGACAATCCAATGACAGAGGACCAATCTCAAAATGTAAGCACTATAGAATAACAACAGTGTCTTGAAAAGCTGCATAAGATCCAGTATAATACTATGATATCAGTAAGAAGAGATAATTCAAGTATTCTGCCCTTACTTGATAGCTTTCTTAATATCGTCATAACTGGCTGGCTTCTCCAGCCTCACTGTGAGGTCAACAACAGAGACATCCACGGTAGGAACACGGAATGCCATTCCAGTCAATTTTCCATTCAAAGCAGGGAGAACTTTGCCAACAGCCTTCACACAAAAGTAAGGAAGGGTTATTAGGTAAAACCAGAAATCATCATCAGTAAACAATAGAACATCAATTTTGGGATAAGATGGCATAAACATCACAGATAGTAGCAAATATTCACCTTGGCAGCTCCAGTGCTGCTAGGAATGATGTTAAATGAAGCAGCTCTTCCACCTCTCCAGTCCTTGCTGGATGGCCCATCAACCGTCTTCTGGGTAGCTGATTAGCATAACAAAAAGAGAAGCCTAACTTAGCTAATAGTCTGATTAGATACGCAAGGTAACAAACCAACAATAGGCTCACCAGTGATGGAGTGAACAGTGGTCATCAAACCCTCAACAATGCCAAACCTGTCATTAATAACCTGTAAAATTGACAAACAATTAGGAGTACAAAAAAAAAGTAAAAATCAACACAAAATTCCATTGCAATGAATCCAGAAAATCGAACCTTTGCTAGTGGAGCAAGGCAGTTGGTTGTGCAGCTGGCATTGGAGATGACATCAAGCTCAGCCTTGTACTCATGTTCGTTAACACCGACGACAAACATGGGAGCATCCTTACTGGGGGCAGATATGATGACCTTCTTAGCACCACCCTGAATTAAGAAATAAAAGACACAATTATCATCTTATACCCTGCACAAAATAAAACTGCAAACACCATACAAAAATATCGATGACAAGCCACAAGTTACGACTAACAAGAAAAAACAGCTCAAATCCCGCAAACACGCATGGCATAAAAATGAGAAAACACAAATAAACACAAAAATTACAGGCATGTTGGTTTAAAAAATAGAATAAAAGTAAGTGAAAGCTATGAAAGTATAGGCATGTGACAGCAATTAGAATACGATGCATGAAACACAGAGCGCCGTAAGAAAAACGAAGCTTAAACAACGGAAATAGTTAGCAGAGAAAAGGGATAGGGAAAAAATAGAAACCTTCAAATGTGCAGCGGCCTTGTCCTTATCGGTGAAAACTCCAGTGGACTCAACGACGATCTGAGCACCAGTCTCGTGCCATGGGATCTCCTCTGGGTTCCTGAATATCAACCAAAGCTTTAACCAACACTTGCACAGTTACACGCAAGGCACAAGCAATCAAAACCAAGAGTATAAAAAGAAATGATACCTGTGTCCGAACACTGTCACTGGCTTCTCACCAAAGAGAAGAGTCTTAGAGTCCTTAACGGTCACATCGTGATGCTTCCACTGTCCGTGAACACTGTCGTATTTAAACATGTAGGTCTGTGCATACCAACACAGTGAATCAGAAGTTGAGAATCAGATCTAAGATCTAAAGCATTAAAAGTAAATAAATAAATAAATCGCCGTAACGATCTGAACACTAACCCAACTGAGAGCATAGATACTCTATTGTGCTTAGTCATAGAGATGAAAAAATAGAGATGAAAAGAATGGAAACAAAAGTAAGAGTAAGAGGTTTTCGGTACGCACCATGTAATCGGTGGTAATGAAAGGATCGTTGACGGCAACGAGTTCCACATCGTCTCTCTGCAGTGCAACTCTGGCCACCAAACGACCAATTCTTCCGAACCCTGTTTCATTCAAATAAAATAAGAAATTAAAACAAAAGGCCGAAATCAAAAAAGTAGGTAAAAATAGCTGAGCTGATCTGAAGCAGAGAAGGAAGAGAATGGTTACCGTTGATTCCGATCTTGACCTTGCCTGATCCATGCCATTATCCATTTAAGACATAAAGAAAAAGAATAGAATAAATCAGAAGAGAACAAAAAAAGAGATGGGGAGAAATTGAGTAGCGGTGTAAATGAAAAGGAAAAAGGTAGAGAGAGTAGGGTACTTACCCATGACTTGCCTGCAGAAAAGAGAGTGCAGTAGTAGGAAATGGAAAGTGGGTAGCAGAAGTTGAGAGAGAGTGGGGTGAGATAGGGTTTTAATAAGGTAGAGGAATAATAGACCGAAAATATTGGTAGCTGCCCAAAGTGGGAAGTGGATGACACCTACAGGACCGGCGTATGACCCGTGATGCTGTGCCAAGGATTGTGCGCTACGATTTTTCTTTTCTTTGCCTCACGCCAACAGATATCCATGTCTTTTCTTTTCTTTTTAAACATAAATGCAAGGCCCAAAAATAAAGATTAAGGTTAATTATATTTTGAGTTTTTATTAATTTCTGTCTTTATAGTTAAATTTCAGTATTTAAAAATTATATAATTTTATTAAGAAATATTTTTATTATATTAAAATTATAAAAATATGATAAATATTTTTAATCAATTTTTATTACTATTAATTACGTAAACTTAATCAACATTTTTATATTTTAGTCTTAATAGTTTATATTATATATTTTTAGTTTCTTATTTTTAATTAATTAAACTTTTTTCTTTAAAATCAAATAAATTTAATCTTTTATTAATTTTAGTTTTATTAAAACCTTTAAATTGTTATCTTTATATGAATTTTCGGGGAACTAATCTTAGATTTATGATATAAAATATTATTATAATTTTACAAAAATTTAATAAAAATAAGTTTTCATCATATGATATTTTAAATTTGAATAAGAAAACTTTAAAATTTTATATTTTAATTAAAATTTAATTTTTAAATTTTTGAACTTTTATTTACACAAACAAGGTAATAAATAATTTTAAATTAATTTAAACTTTTACATGCATATTTTATATCGTATAAACTTTTAATTTAACAATTAAATTTAAGATAAATTATTTAATTACAATTATTAAATAATTTGAAAGCTTTTATATATTTCACGCTGAATATAATTTGATTTCTCCTAATGAATAAGATATATTTGTTTATGTTTCTAATTTGAAAATATTATTAACCGAGACAACATATATTGTAAATATTAAAAATCAGATTTTTATTAACAAATATTTATTTGAGAATGATGACAAAAGTAACTTTGAAATTAAAGAAGGTCAACATTTAAATTAAAATGGACGTGAAAGGATTTAAAATTACGAGCCTTATGCCTTATCTTATCCACGATATCCTCCATGTCTATATCGTAGAATCCGAGGTTTTGCATTTTTATCGCGGAAAGACAAAAAAAAAAAAAAAAAAAAAGAGAGAAATCAATGTGTCTAGCGGCATAAGCGTGTGACAATTCTGTGTATTTAGACGTTTCAGTATTTGTTAAGAATAATTTTTTAAAAACTACAACTATTAATTATTAAAAGTTATTTTTTTCAATTTTAAAACATTTATAATATAATGAGACTAACTTTTTTTTAGTAATTTTTTAAACAGAAATTTTAATTTTGAGACATTATTTAACATAGTTTGAGTATATAATACTTGAATCAATCTTTTTTTAATAAACTGCACTTAAAAGTTTAAAAACAAACAAAAACTAAATTATAGATTTAGGAATCCAAATATTGAAGGAACTCAGTCTTAAAAAAATAATAATGAAGAATGTATCTTCTTAAAATAAAGAAAAAATATTTTACACTTAAACCTTAATTTTAACTGATTAGTTTGCACTCTGAATTACTTCTTTAAGAATATAGTTAAATTAGATAACTTAATTTATCTTAATAACTTCCTAATTTCACTAATTACAAAGAAAAGAAAGTAATTACAACTCAGATAGTTAATAACTAAGTAAATAGCCTCATAAAATTACATTCAATTCATATTAGTTAGGTCTTTTAAAAATTACAAGTTTTAGCTTTCTAAAATTCTCAAAGATTTGCAGCGAGGAGAAACACAGGTCTAAAGTATTATAGAATCCAGCAACGAGTCTGCCATTATTATCCTTAATAAGACCTCCACAGCTAGTGATTCCAGCAACTTAGAAGCAACTCCATCAACATTTTAGCTTGAGTTACAAATTCATAAAGGGTTGCTATTTGGTTAAACTCTTAGCCCCCAGCCATCCAATTCCCACCTTTTGATTAGACATACCATAAAAAATGAAAAAATCAAAATCAAATTTTGTTTTCTGAAATAGAGACTCATTGTTAAAAAGAGAGTTATGAAAAATCTTATTATTCCTTTTATTCCACAAAGTCCAAACAATAAATCCCAATGAGGATATAAAGAAAAGCTAGTTTTTGACAAATTAAATATCAGCCAAATTGTCAATCCTTTACTGAAGAATAATGACCAATTTTTAGGAAAAATCAACTAGTTTCAAATCTGCTTAGCAACCCAACAGTCCTTGAAGACATGAATTACAATTTCAGCAGCTTCTTAACACTTAGAACAAATAAAAGAGTTAGTCATTCCATGATTACACCTTTCATCATTAGTAAGGAGTCTTTCATGAGCTATTTTCCATAAGAAAACATTGATTTTGGAGGGACTTGTCCAACTCCAAACAAGGTTAAAGATATTTTGATGCAGAACCTGATGCTTAGAAGAGATATAAGTTTATAAGTAGATTTAATATAAAAAACTCTATTACCAATAAATTTCTAGAAAAATAATTCTTGCCCCCTACAAGAATAGGGGGATTAATTTGAGTAATTAAGTCGCATATAGATTCAGGAAGCATGGTCTTAATTATAGACTAGTTTCAACAACAATGTGAAAGAACATAGCCACAAGTTCATTCACCTCAATTTCAAAAACAAATTGCATAGCAAAGTAAGTAAGGCTTTGTTAGGTATTAACCCACTTATCCTCCCAAAATCTAATGATCAGTCCATCACTTAGGATTGAACCAAACCCATTATAAAAAGACTTCTAAACAAACAGAATGTTACTCCACATATTATAGCAGTTTTGACAAATACCAGAATTAAGGTTCTTTTCAAGGGAGAATTTAATATACTCCAAATTACTTGAGCCCATAGGGCAATAGGGGAGGTGATAAGCCTCTAGCACAATTTTATGATATAAGCTTGATTCACTATGTGGGTTTTCCTAAAGCTTATACCTCCCTCCCCCTTAAGTTTTAGATTTACAGACTTTTTCCTAACCAATTAAATGGCATTTCCTGTCATCTAAAGAACCCAAAAATGAACATTTTGCATATATTATCAATTACATTATGCATAGATTTGGGGATGAGCATGGATTGAAAAAAATAGGAAAGAATGTTCATAATACAAGATTGAGTAAGAGTGATTCTTTAGTCATGGATAAAGAGTTCATTTCCTAGGAAGAGAGCTTTTTCCTAATATTGCCAACTAAAAAGGAATAATCCTACTTAGCTAGCTTGAGGTGACTAATAGCGATACCCAAATATTTTACCAAACTCGGATGAGTGTCTAATTCCTAATTTAAGGCTAATTTCATGTGATAACACAAAATCACAATTTTTGGAAAAGAAAACTAAAGATTTTTCCTTATTTATAAACAAACCAGAGGCAAAGCAAAACTCACTGAGGCAAAGATAACCATCTCAGTGTTAAGCCTATATGCTTTAACAATTAAGATTATATCATCAATAAAAAAAAAAATAGGTGAGAGATTTTAGGCCTATAATTGTTAAAACAGAAGAGGATCTAGTCATCATTGTAAATTTTATCTTGGATTAAATGAGCTAATCTTTCTATGCAAAGAACAAAAAGATAAGGGGAGATGGGATCACCCTACCTAATGCCCCTATTAGGATTGAAAATTTCAATTTTATTGCTATTCTAGATGATGGACATAAAAGGTGTTGAGACACATTGATAAATGAACTCATTCAATTTTAAACCTAATTTTCTCGATGGTACTCCCAATAAACTATCTAAACCTATCATAAGTCTTTTTTAAGTCCAGCTTAATCGTCATATATCCATTTATTTTTTTCAACTTATTGAAAGAATGAACCAACTCTTGAAGGATTAAAGTGTTATCTATATCTTATTTATCTAGAATGAAGCTAGTTTGATTGGCAAAAATTAAGCAACGTAAAGATCTTCTAATTTTCTTAACTAAAATTTTAGTAATAATTTTATAGCTGAAATTACGCAAAGAAATAGGCCTAAGTTTTTAAGATGATAAGGGTTTTCAGTTTTAGGGAGAAGGATAATAGAAATATCATTAACCTCAACAACCTTAGATGGGATATTAGAGATATTAGACACAAAATCATAGATGAAGGGATTTAAAAAATTCCATGAATTTTTTAATAAATAAGGCATATATACCATCTGCACTAAGAAATTAAGGTGCCATATACTAAATAAAGAGTTTTTTATTTCAGCCATAGTTAACTCAAAATTTAAATTAGCTTTCTCATAATCCTTAAGGGGTGGGGAAAAGGAGATAATGATAAGGGGACGGCTACTTGGATAGGAATAAGAATAAATGTTCTTGAAATAATTCGCAGCCAGGGTTTGGAGTTTCTAAAGGTTAAATTGAAAAATTTTAAATTAGCTTTCTTATAATCTCTATGGGCTTTAATAATGTTTATTTGCCTATGAATTAAAGCAATATTTTGGAAAAAAAAATATTATTCCTATCACCCAACTTTAGCCAATTGAATTTATAATGATGAGACCAATATATTTTTTCCAGATCCAGAGTCTTTTGATGCTCTATCCACAAGGTTTTTATAAGTTTACTTAGAAAAGAATTATCACCTAAGGCTAGTTTATCAAAGATATCCCTGATTTTATTCAATAATTGCCTCTTTCTTTTAAAAACTCCAATCAAATATGTTTCTTTTTAAAACATGTTATGATTTTAGTCCAAGTTTTAGAAGCTACCCAAGAGTTTTTAACTTGATTAAAAAAATCACTATGATAGATCAAAGCAACCAAAAATTTAAAGGGTTTGCTATAAGACTCAAAAATATCCCTATCTCTAACTTTTAGTCAGATGTCATCATGATTAATTTTTAGAAGAGGAACATGGATTAAAGAGTTGTTCTGGAACAACATTCTCCAAGAGTTATTGACAACTACTTTGTCAATTCTTTTCCTAATACTGTCTTTATGCCAAGTAAAAGGTTTTTCTTTTAAACCCAAATCTTATAAGTCATAGGTATTCAGATAACTAGCAAGTTGCTAGATAAGACTTAAATTGGCAGGTCTACTCCTAGATTTTTCATGTTGGTAGAGAACTGAGTTGAAGTCCTAAACTAGACACCAAAGTTTATTTACAATG